TCTGGTCTGAGTTGAGCATCATTTCGAGAGGAGAGGGCAGAGGGATGGACGGGCGCCTCGGAGAAGCAGGGACAGGCCCAGCCGGGGGGGGGATGAAGCAGAACCGCTAGGATCGAAGGAGAAAATCCAGGTTTTTTTTTCCGCCGGGTGTTCTCCTCCTCCTCCTCCTCATCACACTCGGTGGCGGCGAGGGAGCGTCACCATTTCCCCTTTTCCCTGGAGAGCCCCTTGGGCGAGTGGGTGCTTTCCTCAATAAACAAGGGCAATAGGAAGGCAGGGGCATATGAGTTAAATAAATAAATAAGCATCCGTGTGGGGCACGGCGGGTGCTCCCCGGCTCTTCTGTGTGGCCACGGTGGGACCCGGCTTGGTTGTCCTCAGCTGTCAGAGGCGACGGCTCCTGATGCTCTCTGGAAAAACAAGCACAGGGCGCTCAGTGCTGTCCGCCTGGATGGGATGGGATGGATGGAATGGGATGGGACAGGATGAGGTGGAATGGGATGGGACAGGACGGGATGGATGGAGTGGGATGGGACAGGACAGGACGGTATGGGTAGGATGGGTTGAGGTGGGATGGGACAGAACACAACAGGATGGATGGGATGGGATTAGGTGGGATAGGACAGGACAGGATGGGATGGATGGGGTGGGATGGGACAGGACGAGATGAGATGGATGAGGTGGAATGGGGTGGGACAGGACAGGACAGTATGGGTAGGATGGGTTGAGGTGGGATGGGACAGAACACAACAGGATGGATGGGATGGGATTAGGTGGGATAGGACAGGACAGGACAGGATGGATGGGGTGGGATGGGACAGGACGAGATGAGATGGATGAGGTGGAATGGGGTGGGACAGGACAGGACAGTATGGGTAGGATGGGTTGAGGTGGGATGGGACAGAACACAACAGGATGGATGGGATGGGGCGCCGGGGGGCGGCGGGAGCCGCCGCTTCCCGGCGCTCCGGAGGGAGGCCAGGTGGTGGATGCGGAAGGGGGAAGGCAGCCCGCGGGGCGGGGGGGCGCCCGTATGCTAAACGAGCCCGTATGTCACAGATGCTGCACCCCAGACATATGGAAACCAACACAGCTGCTCGGCTTCGTGTGTCCAAACAGGAGCCGGATCCCCGCGGGACGCGGTGCCCTGGGAGCAGCTCCGAGAGAGCCAATCCTGGAACGAGCCGCACGGCAAGGGAACAGAAACGGAGGGCTACGGAGCAGCGGGAAGGAGGGAGCCGCCGTCCCTGCAGCGGGCAGAGCCCTCGACGTGCGTGGAGGGTTCAGTGGGAGCCCGAGCAGACCCAGCGATGCCTCCGCCGCCCTCTGAAGCCCGGAGGAAAAGTGATGTGCGGGAAGCCCTCGGGCTGGGAACACGGAAGGAACTTCAATTCCCAAACGAGCTACATTGGCGATAGCCACACACTGTGCTGCGATCCCTGCACTTTTCCTAAACTTTCTCTTCTCCCTCACTTTCCTTCCCTCTGTCCGTGCTCCTCCCCTGCTCCCCCGTCCTGCTCGCAGAGCCGGGACCGCCCTTCCCGTGCTCCAGCCCTCCTGCTCCGCACTTGGGAGCAAATCCCAGCTGGGAGCCCCGCTCCGCAGCCCGATGGAGCCGGGGGATCCCATCCGCAATGGCCATCCCTGGAGCTCTGCTCCAAGCTGGCCGGGAGGAGGAGGAGGAGGAGGAGGGAGTTTCAGCTGGGACCGCATCCCCACGTGCAGCTCCGCGCTGGCAACTCCGGCTCTATGGAAACCCTCCACCCAGGGATGGGGAACGCGCTTCGCTCTTTGCACTGGCTTCTCTTCTCTCCTGCCTCCCCGTTATCCCGGCTCCGAAGGGGCCAGGCCCGATCCTCCTTTGCTCTGCAAACGGAGCTTGTGGCGAACCCAGGGTGCAGACGGGAGTCCCGCGCGGGGCCCTGTCCGCGCTCGGCGGCGTCGGGACGTCGCTGGGACACGCGGTCGCTTGCACCGAGGGCAGCCCCAGCGCGGGGCCGAGCCGCCCCCTCAGCCCTCTCGTCCTCGAGCTCTTCCTTCCTCTGCCCCTGCCCTCGGGTGAACCGCGAACCGCCGCCTCCCTAAACGCGGCGCTGGGAGATGCCCGTCTGCCCCGCGCTTGTCCCGGTCCTTCCACCTGAGCCCAGCGAAGCCGGTGGCGCTGGCAGCCCAGCGGGAAG